AAGTTCTGATGACCAGCGGAAAGTATCCCAGCTGGAGAACAGAAGGCACTGAGCTACACACAAGTGTGAGTTACTGAAAAGGGCCGAATTCTCCATAAGAACATGCTGTATTCTCCACTCTGCCTTGTTTTAGAGCAGACCTTAACAAAGAAGCCAGATGTGTCTCAGAGGGGTTTCTCATTCTCTTGTGATAACAAACCTTTATAGATAAGGTGACCATATGTCCCGACACATTCAGGAAGGTCCTGGTTTAACATCTTTTCCTGGCATCATTATTTTTGTTTTTGTTTTTGTTTTTGGTTTTGAGACAGAGTCTTACTCTGTTGCCCAGGCTGGAGTGCAGTGGTGCGATCTCGGCTTACTGCAACCTCTGCCTCCTGGGTTCAAGCGATTCTTGTGCTTCAGCCTCCCAAGTAGCTGGGACCACAGGTGTCTGCCACCATGCCCGGCTAAATTTTGTATTTTTAGTAGAGACAGGGTTTCACCATTTTAGCTAGACTGGTCTTGAACTCCTGACCTCAAATGATCTGCCCGTCTTGGACTCCCAAACTGGTAGGATCACAGGCGCGAGCCACCGTGCCCGGCCCTGACATCATTATTAATAGAACTCACTTTCACTCTCAGAAATGTCCTAATTTGAATGATGATTATATGCTCACCCTGATTATAAACCTTGCCTTAGACTTTTATGGTTCCTAAAAGGAGAAAGATCAAACTGGAAACAGTTTCTCCATTTACAGAACCTGAGTCACAGAGGCATCACATGATTTGCCTTAATGGTCCGTTGAATTCAATGGTCTGTTGAATTCAGTGGTCTATTAAATTTCTCTTCACGAAAGAATTCTTTTTTAACAAAGTGTAATGAAAATGTCTTAAAATCATATATGCATAAAGTCATTAAGGCTGCCAAACCTTGATGTTTAGGAGAATCTACTCTTGAATGAGTAACCACAGGAAGACCCATATGTGGGATCACAGTGCTTCAGGACCACTAATTATATGATCTTCATTTTATTTTTATTTATTTAATTATTTTAGGCAGTCTTACTCTGTCACCTAGACTGGAGTGCAGTGGCACAATCACGGCTCACTGTAGCCCCGACCTCCTGAGTTCAAGTGATCCTCCTGCCTTAGCGTCCCAAGTAGCTGGGACCACAGGTGCGCACCTCCTGGCCCCGCCAATTTTTGTATTTTTTGTAGAGTTGGGGGTCTCGTCATGTTGCCCAGGCTGGT